TGACGTCAGCCCCTGCCGCCAGCTCCCTCCCCTCCTCATGCAGCGTTCCCAGAATGAGCCTGGCCACATGTGCTGTGTCTGGACAGTCACTTCCAACCTATTTGTGACCATTCCCCGCTTCCACTGGCCCCAGCTTCTCAGGCTTGTGCCAGCACAGCCAGCTTTGGGGAAGGGGGGACAAGAGTGCCAGGCAAGGTGACAAAAACCCCAAGGAGAGCTCCAGCCGTGCAAGAAGAGCTGAGTGGCGTTTTACTTCTGCTCCCTGGCACGGCTGCTCTCTGCAAGCAGGAGGGCTGCCTGCAGAGTAGGGCACGGCTTCCCCCAGGACCTGCTCTCCTCTCCTGCTGATCCACGTTACCTGGTGTGGGGCAGGGGGGAAGAGAGCAGAAGAAAGGCGATATTTCAGCCGAGGGAGCAGGGGAGAGCAAGACTTGGGTTCAGAGGCAGCTCTGGCTTGAAAGGGTCCTTGCTGCAGCATCTCTGCGACATGCCGGTGGTTCCCAGAGAGAATAAGACATTCCTCAAAGGTCACCCCAAGGGCACAGCACGAACCTTCCCCATGAAAAATTCTCTTTAATCTCTCCAGCGCCTGGGCTGGCTATAAATTGGCACAGCTCATTTGAATGGAAGTGTTAACCACCCACAGCCAACAGCTTCGGTCCGGAAACAGCAGCAAGAGGATATGGTGGGAGGCCTATAAACAGCAAGCGATGCCGAGGCAGCCAATCCGGCCGCTGTTTACAGTGTCTGATAATAAAGAGAAGCCAGAGGGCAAAGGAAAAAGGCAACATACCTAAACACATTAAAAAGATGCTTTTCGGCAACCTAATTAGGATGTGGAACTCGTAAACCTGCTAGCATTAAAAATAAGCTACATGAGAGCAGGACTTAGTTGCACCCGAGTATCATGATCTTAAATATCACACACAGAGGTAAGCGAGGGCGTGCAGCAGTTAGGTCCCGCGTCTTCTAGCTCTCGCACCTCTTCGCTGGGCAAATTTTTTATTTAGATTCTTAGGTTTCTTTCATAGAGAGAGAGCGCCAGGTGAAGTGGCCAGACTCTGCCCAACACCGAGCCCTGCAGACCGGCTGCACCATTTCACTCTGAGCAGCTCAACCAGGAAGGCAGGTCATGTTTCCCTGCCAAATCTGGGGCGCTCTGCCCCACTACACTTCCTACGGCCTGCTCGCTCCTCTGCAGCTCGGGGTGCAGGATGAGAGGAGGCTGTCAAAGTCCCAGCTTGAAGTAAGCCCTGACAAGCCCCACACAAGCACAAGCAAGTAGGCTGTGAGAAGCGTACCTTCATCGAGCTGCTGCCAGCTGAGATGTAAAGTGGGAACTTAAATGGAACTTAATTTTCAAAATACTCATACTGTGCTGGGCTGTGAAAAACTGGGATAAAACCACAGTGGGCTCCTGAGCAAACAGAGCTGATGCAGAGCACAGCAAGAGCAGAGGCCCTGGGTTCAGCTCAACACAACATCTTTAGGAACTCCTCATCCCTTCCATCCTGCACCTGGTCCCAGCACCCGCAGCTGAGTGGTGCCCAGCCCCCAAGCACCCCACGGCGCTAGGGAAGAGCTGAACAGGGCAGAGCACTTGCAGCATCTGCTGCACACCCAAGGGAGAAGCACCACTGCTGTTCCCCTCCCTTTGAACCAGTGTGTCCCAAGCAGCCGGACTCAAAACCACATGAGCCTACGGTCTCAGCACAGGCAGATTCGGAGCTCAACTTCAACTCACATTTCTCTACTGACTTCCCTATTCTGACACAAGATTCAGCTTCAAGGGCAGCAACAACTCACTGGCAGCCACCAAGCACACGCAGACTGAGGACACAGTGAAGCAGTCACTAATTCAGATACTCGTCCTTTGGTCCCTTTTGCTCCCTCACCCATCTCCAAGCAATAGCAGGAGCAGCTCATGAAAGGAGATGGCCAAATCCTAGCCAGGCCATGCCCAACATCTCTTGTGATTTTTTGATCTGACAATTCATGGGGCTTGTAGCTTTGCCATAACTCAGGGGCAGCTGCTCTGCTCTGCTCAGCGGCACAGCACACAGCCACAGGAGAAGGCGAGGCAGGGTAGCCAGCTTGTCTCACAGGAGACGGTTTTCACATCACTTGCTCTCTGTCTCCGAATTGTATTCTCATATCTCCATAAGGGTCAGCAAGCATTTGGTAGCAGAACTCTAGCATGGCTAGCTAGAGGCAGTCCCTGATCTGCAATTTCAGTTTCTTGATTGCGAGTCTGCAGCCTGAAGGCACAAGCCAAAGTTCTCCTCTAACAGCAATTAAAGTGCATCTCTGCACTTTTTCAAGCTTCCACAGAGGTGGCTTTTTATTTGGGGAAGAACATTTGCCTCCCAGCCATTTCGCGTGGCAGGATGCAGGATCTCTGCTGCTCTGCACTGGACAGACACAACACCTGCAAATGGTGCTGTGTGTGGTCAGATAAAATTGGAGTAACAGAAGGAAAGCCCCTCTTTTACCACTGCAAGGACGTGACCCCAGCAGGGAGATGGAGATAAGCAAGATCCAAAAGCAAGAGAAGTTATATGCAAATACATTTCCAAGCTGCTTGCAGTTTCCTAGTCAAGCTTCATCTCGACTGTCCTGACAAGCATGCATCCTCAAAGACACTCAGTTATGCCCAAATGCACCGTTTTCAGGGAAGAAAGAAAAGCTTTGTCTTCCTACAGAAAGCAAAGCGGCCCCCCCATCATTAGGCTGAGAAAATGCTGTTTTCTTTTTGAGTTCAGCGTAAGGAAAGTTTTTCATGACTGAACTTGTGGAAGGAAAGCACCATGGCAGGGAAGACAGGACAGTTTGTTACGGACTCTCAGGCTTCTTTGAAAGCGCCAGGGTGATAAAGTTCCAGCGCTCGCAGCCAGTCAAGAGACCCAAGGAGAGATCCTGCGTTTGAGACACTTACAGGCAAGTGCTAGGCAACTCATCCGGGAAGCTGCAAGGGAGAGAGGCGTCTGCGCTCAGGATTGCCTGCTCCCGAATACTGCCACACCCTGTCACCATCTGCCAGCTGCCAAAGTCTGTGGAAACGGAAGATCCGGGCAGAGAATGGTCGGCCGATCTGGGGCAGAGAGAGAGGGAGACGGCGTGATCAGTCAGGTCATTCAGCCACATGCCTTTCGCTAACGCTGGTGCCAGGGACCTGCCGGGCCGATCGCCAGCAGCGCCTGTGCCAGCAGCTTGGATGCTCAGGGACCAGGGTGTGACATGCAGCTCTGGCTGGGCCCCTGGCCAAGCCTTTCCTTTGAAAGCAAGAGGAGAGCCAAGCTGGCTGGGCCCGATGAAGCAGCAGGAGCGCACCGGGAGCCGGACAGGACAGAGCCAGCAAGGAGCAGATGGCCATGCAGAACTGTGAAACCCGTTAGCAAGATGCAACAGCATGTCCTGCCCTGAATCCCTCACAGATGTGGACATTGTGCCACGCATTAGGCATCCCCTTGTTGCTTGTTGTAGCTGTTACGCACGTTCCAGGGTGGCGGCAAGGCCTGACGGAGTTAGTGCTGAGAAAGACTTATAGATCCTTGGTCCAGCAGCCGTGAGATAGCAGATCACTTCTGAGGCATTACCACCAGATCTGAACAGAGCCAATCATTGCTCAAGATGTTCCCCCAGCACAGCCCACCACCACCCCCAGCATCTCAAGATCTTTTCATTCCTCTGTTAGAAGAATGGACTGTGCCAGAAACCAGGTGGCAAAACATCTTTAGGACAGGAAAAATAGCCAAGGGAGGATAATTATTTGATGTATGCAACCTCCCACCAGGAAAGGAGGAAGCACAAAAATCTGTTAAGTGAATCTGAGGAGTCCCTCCAAAATCCCAAAGAAGGCACAATCACTTGAGACAGACCCAGAGCTTTTGGCTTCCGGGGAGCAAGCAATTACTGTGCCCCGCTGCACAGCAGACTGTACATAGCTGGAAGCACAGCCTGTAGCAGAGCTACTCAATTACACACTACCAAGATCTTCTGGATAATTTATCTGAGAACTGCTGGGCAGATAGCAGTGCACCAGCTCCAGCTCTGCTTAGCCAGGTACTTGCATGCTGTCTTCACAGCTAAGAATAGCGAGGGTGCACTGCAGCTGCTCCCCAAGAGACCAGGAGAACAGCAAGAAAGACAGGATCTCCCACAGCAAGAAGGACCTCAGCCAGACTGGAAGGCAAGGGTAGGGGGAAATGCACAGCAGGAAACCTATTTGCAATCTCAATCTAATTCCAACCCTGCCATTTAACTAGTCTGATCAATACAGCCAAGTCTGAGAAGTGTGAAACGCAGTCCTGAGCTGGCTGCACAAGCGAAGGAGGAGAAGTCACAGGGCTCCTTGCACCTCGGCTTCCCATCGCAGTGCTGACACTCCTGCAGCTGTCATTTGGGGGTAACACCGCTGCCTGGATGTCCAGCCCCTGGAAGGACATCACAGCAGCAAACAGGAAGAGCAGAGGTTCACCTGCCTTGCCCAGCTCTTGTTCTTCGGCTGCTCCATGAACTGAGGAGTGAGGTTCAGAGTATTGGGAGAAACTCTTCTCTCAAAAAGGTGTTTTTCCTAGAGCACGTAACACTGCAGTAAGAACGAGGGCATTCCACTGAAAGCAGAACTGCAGCATATACTCTTAGAAAGACCTTTTGGAGATCAGGCAGGGATAATCTTCTCTGGGAAGCAAAGAATTTGTAAAGGAAAAGGAGCAGCTGTACCCCTCTCCCTGCCTTAGGAAGATAAAGCCGACAAAGTCAGCGTGAAGGGGAAAAGCGGTCAGAGTGTTTGTGCCCAGAGCATGGTGCCTTGCTGGAAGCACAGCAGGAACAGTGCAGGAAGCCAGGGAGAAGCACAGAGGAACACTGCTTCAGTGCAGAAGGAAGAGGAGGTACACAATGTTTTTAGCAGCCTGTCCAAGAAAGGATTCAAAAGCTGACTTGACCCACCTCCCACAGGACTGACTCTCAGTGGCTCTCTAGCCCTCTAACCCTTCCTGTGGTCCCCAGCGCTGTCAAGCAGCTATGAAAACTTAGTCAAGTTACATCCAACCTCATAGCACAGCAGTCCCAGAGTTCGAGGGAGCCAGTTCTGTGTCTTGCCTCCAGGCAGCAGAATAAACACTTGTCAATTAATTGAATAAACTGATTGACTCTGTAATGAGTTCAGGTCACCTCTCTCCCGGCTTAGACATCTGAGCTGAGCCAGTAGAGCTAAGATACTGTGGCAGACTTTCCCCTCTATCCCTGATGCCTTCTCAAGGGAGGCTCCTGAGGAAGTGTCACAACCACCAAACATCTTGAACAGCCTCAAGAGACAGCAGAAGCCAAGGCTAGGAAGGCATGGCATGGGAAATCTCATGTTTGCCATGCTAGGGCAGCTGGGCTTAGCTGGAGACCAACACCAGATCTCCAGGGTGACCATATCCCAGTGTGATCCAGTCAATCTAGAGGTGAAAACCTCCCTGTTATTTCTACATCTGAAGGCTCTTCGCAAAGTCTTGTTACAGAGGCCCAAAAAGGGCTTCAGGGACACCAGGACCGGTCCCCCAAGCCTGGAAGAACATCTGGTTTGCAACACATTACAGCCGTGCCAGAGGCTGGGTAGCTGTGAGGGCAGCATGGAGGGTCTTGGGAAGCAGCCGGATGACTACAGCAAAGCTGACATGGTCAGGGGAGATGAGATACAGAAAGTCTTCAAGTCCCTGTCTCTGCCACAGACATCTAATGGCAGACAGAAAGAGAATGAAAGTGAGCTTCACACACCCACCTCTTCAGGTCCACGAGTGGGAAGAAACTCCCTCAAAAGTGCAAGATTAACAAAATTAGATTAGCAAAACAGAGATGAGCTGCAAGCTGTTCCTTCACACAAGGAAGGACCTCTAGCAGCCCGTAACTGGCAACTCCTAGCCTGGAATGGTTCCTTTTAATTAGGTCAGTGCTTCCCATGCAACACGCTGCACAAGAGAGAGTATTTCAAGAGTACATGGACACTCTCCTACCAGAGGAGAGCCAATACTGGAGGCTGAGCAACAGCCAGGGATCCCTCCCTTTCTTAATGTGTAACTGAGCCGAGTGTTAACAGTGAGGCTCTTGTCCTGCCCCACGCTGCCCCTGCTCACCTGCTGCATTGCTACACATACAGGACTAGTTGGGAAGCAGCTCATTTGCCAGCATATGCTCTGTGCCTCAAATGGAAGTGTTAAGTAGGTACTGTTCGCACAGGCAGACTGTGACAACCTGGGGTAAAGGGCAGCCCTTCCCACCTTTGCGTGGGAAATGTTGGCAAGGAGTACTTGGCAGGGAGCTGTGCCGAGAGCCCTGGCTGAATCCCAAGCAGTTATCTACAGGCTGTGTCGGTGCCGTAACAGCCTGAGCAGCCAGTCCTCTGCAAGCACAACCATTTTTGACTGCAGCACAGGCACGTGCCAGCCAGCAAGCCCATTCTGTGGCATAGTCGTGCAATAATTCCAGAAAACATTCCTGTAAACAATTCCTGTCCTGCTGCCGTCGCTATCCCAAGTTGTCGTGTCGCAGATACAGTTTCCGAGACAGCCAGCTGTAAGAAGCAAGACACACAGAGCATGCACAGTCTTATCACTGTCCACACAACACCCAAAACTAAGGGACAGCAGTTTCTCTGTCCCTCCCTGCGTTCTCTCCAGATCCACAGCCAAACTGATTGCAGCCCCTTAAGTAAGGGAGTTCTCTGTGGCTGTTGACCAAAGCAGATCCTGCACGAATCAACTCCTGCAGATCTTGACTCTTGAGATCACAGTACTTTGGGTTTTGTTTAATTGACTTAGCAAAAGCACATTCAGCCGAAGATTATCTAGCTGCTAATCCACATTAGTGCTATGCACACACACACACTAAATCCCTGACACAGATACAGGGTTTTTCTGCAGTGTCATGGGATGCTTAGACTATTAGCGCCAAACACAAACACAGAACATGGTTTGAGAGCTGCAACTCACTTGCACACAGGGAGTTTGACTCAACGCACACTCTCTGCCATACTAAGAGCTCTCCGTTTGTAGAACAAGCAGCACCTTGTCCCACTCTGCAAATAATGTACGCAATATCTTCATGCATGTTTGCCCTCAGCAGATGTGATCTTACCATTGTGTTGGCATAAGCTTAGAAAGATTGCTAGGAATTTGCCTTTGTGCTGCTTTGCCTAACAAGAATGATCCCGACATTTATGAGTACCCACGACCTCTGGATGGGCTGGTGAGGCGATGGCAGCAGCAGACTGCTGACACGGCCTATCCGGGAGAGGGACTTGGCTGCTACTGGCTGACTTGACATTTGTGACTCCTTCTTTTAGGACACCCCAGTTTCCCTCCCAGGCCCTGCTCATCCCTCTCTGCTGGCTTGCCCTCCCGTTCCCTAACCCTGCCTGCCAGCCCCCAGACTGGGCTGTTCACCTGCGCCACCTGAAGGGCGCCTGTTGACATTTTACAAGCAACCACTTCTCCTCAACTGCTGCTGCAGTGGTTAAGTGTTTTGTTGCTATGGCCACAGAACCAGAGGATTAGGAAGTCAAGTACAGCGGTTTCCTCATCTTAAGAGCCTTGGGTGCTAACCTGCCAGCAGTACTGTAGAGATAAAGGTATTTTTGGCATCCTGAGCAGTCTCCATGCTCTAACCTTTCTTCATCCTAATCTCACAGAATTTATCTCTTCCTTCCATCACAGATACACTCCTTCTCCACCCAAAATAGGACTTGTCCTTTTCTTCAGGATGGAAAATGGTGGCTTCAAGGTACTGCGTTATCCATTGCCTGCACAGAGTTGACCAGACAGTTCAGACTAACATAGCCCAAGTAAGGAGACCAAAGCCAAGTGGAGTAACATAACCACTCTCCCTGGAGAAAACATACCATGTCCTTAGCTAGTAGAGCTCTTAGCAGTGTTACCCCAGGGAAGGCAAGCAGGGCACAGGCCAATTGGTCTGGCAATGGACTAGGAGGAAAAGGAGCATCAAAGTGCCAGAAGACTTGGCTTGAAAGCTCAGCTCAGCTGTTGTCTTGACAATTCCACCCACTCTCTGCAGGGCCTTTAGGCTTATTTGGTCCAGCTTGCACAGCCAGAGGAGCAGGGCAAACCCAGGTGACACCAGAGATGAGCACACAGGTGTACAGTCTCCAGCCAGGACGAGTGCAGCAGGCTGCCTAACTGTGTGCAACTGATTTCACCACTTCAGCTTCACAACGGGTTCCCTTCTCCCGCCCACTTGGTTCCAGGCCATGCAAGGCGTTTGCTCCCCTTTTATCACTGTCATGTATTTTTTTTCTAGCCTGGTCCTTCACAGCTGCCTTGTTCACAGAAGTTGACAGGGACTGGACTGATGCAACCTTGCTGTGCTGAGAGGTTACAAAGGCTTTGTGCCATGGCAGAAGCTATCATAAAAGCCAGAAAAATGAGTACAGTGGAATACACAGAACAGTTACCTCTTACAGTGACCAAATACCACTCCTTCTCCGAGATATTTATTTGGTATAGGGAAAAGCCACCCCTGCAAGGACTTTGGCCTGGAAGTAACAAGCTTCCCCACCACGCTTGTCTGCTGCCTCAAGCCCTGGGGGTGCCAGTTCTGAACACATGGCACCAACAGGGACCGATCTTCTAAAAGCTTAGAGATGCCTCATCCAGACACAGCCAGAGGAAAGAGAATTGCTGACTTTACCAACTCTGAGCCCCTGGAACACAGATTCCAGGGACTGCACGTGTGCTCAGCCCCTTCCCATGGCGCTTTTCTGCCTACTCTGTTTCTCCTCTTCGCTCTTGCAGAGCAGAGTCCGGCTGAAGCATTAAAACCACTTCTTCCACCACATTGCTACACACTCACTATCAGCCCAGCACTGAGCAGCCTGTCAGGTCTTGGAAACGGCGTGAGACCACACACGGGAATTGTGGTGCTCCCACTGTGAACAAAAGCAGCCCCAAGACAAGCTGTTTTCTCTCCAGTATTTTCTTCTCTTCTTGGGAGATTTGTTTCATCTTACAGAGAGTGTAGAGGTGGGTTCCAGCAACAACTCAAAAGCATCCTATTGATCATTTACCCCAGGGAGAACAGTTAGCATCGCTCATGAAAACTGTCAGACAGTGACTCTTCTCTGGAATCAAGAAACTTGGTAAGTCTTATAAATTTTCAATGCTTTACTTGTTTGTCATTTTGTTTTCCCTGTGATGAGAGTACTAAAATTTGGCTGGTGGCTGTTTTTACGGAATCACCAGAAAAAGACTCATCAGAAAACCTGCAGAGACTACACAAGTGTTTGATGCTGTTAACAGCAACCTCTTATTTAAGAGCCTCTTTATCCTCTGTCGGCCTAAACACATGGCGTTTGCTCCACAGGCTCTTCTCTTTCTTCCCTAGCCTAGCTCAGCACTTGATTTTACCCTACCACAGCACCAGACTCCAGAAGGGTGCCAGAATATCCGTTGTTATGGCATGAGATTAGGCTCAGGTCCAACATCCCCATTACCCAGTTGCCCCATGGGAACAAAAAACCTTCCAGGTGAAATCCTTTGTGTCGGGCTCAGTGCTTGCAGCTGGCTCCCAGCAGATCCTACCTCTGCTTCCACCAGCACCCAGGAATTTTTCCACTCTGCAGCATTCAGGAAAGGGGGATAGGACAGATGGAGAGTGAGGTCTGCTTGGTTTGAAAGGTTTCCTCCCCAACACAGCTATTCCAAACCCCTGAGGATGCATTTGACAGAGAAAGTGCTGTGAGCCTCAAGCATGCAGGAAGCAGAGACGCCAGAGCTCGTGGAGTTGAGGCATGCACTGAGGACAGGCAGAACAGACATCTAGCTGTTATCGGCACAGATTCTCACTCCAAATGGGCTGAGGCAGGAGTTTCTGTGTTTAATGGCCAGCATTTCACACATGGTCAAGGCTAGTGAAGAACAGACCTCCTGCAGTTTGTAGACACAAGAACATATGGTCTAGGGTTCTCAGAGCCACACAAGTAGAGCCCTGCACTCCCTTTGCCAGACTCTCATTTTGCTGAGAAACGCTCTACTCCGTTCCACCTCACCTGGATCTGGGCACTTCCAGTGGGCTGCTTCCCATCCTCAGGAAGTTATCAGAATGGGTTGATGAGGAGGAGCTGGAGGACTTGACTTCGGCCATCCCTATGGAAGGCAGCCTGTCTTCAGACAGCTGTGCCCTGCTCCACAGTACGGCTTGTGGTGATGATGTGCAGCTCTTCCTCCTGTGGGATGGAGAACTTGGGTGAGAAAGCTGGCTTTCCTATGTTCTCCAACTAGAAAGCCTCTCTACAACAGCCTGGATTTTACCCTGGCAGCTATAAGCTTTTGTTCCCACTAAACCTGCCCTCCTCCTTCCCAAGGAACCGTGAGTCACGGGTAACGCTCAGTGACGGGGGTACACTGAGCTCAACCCATCTTAGCCCATTCTTTTATAGATCACTATCCACGTGACCTGGAAATCAGAGACAGGAGAATGCAGCAGCCCACACACATACAGCGAGGGCTTTGTTTAGTCTAGTTGTAAAAAAAGCCCCAAGCAAGGGGCCTCCCAGCAGGGAAAGACCATTTCAATCTGCTCTGATTCTAGAGTGTATCGGTCGAGTTGCTCAGGTGGGTGTTCATGTGCGCTGGAGAGGGTGACAGTGACACTGCATCAGTGTTATTTTCCCTTTTAGTGATTCCCTTCAGGCACCACTGACCACGCTCCTGACCATGTGCTCAGAGCTGACGGTCAGTCCAGATGTAGGTGCATTCAGTCATCACCCTGTCTGTGCTGACAGCCTGGAACTGCTCCGGCTTCTTTTCTAGCCAGCACATTTAGACTCAGGCATGATTCACTGTTGCATCAGGCCTTAGCTCACGGTACCATGCAGCCACATGCCAAACAGGCACACATAGCTGGAACTAATTCATGTCACTGCTGCTTCATGTTCAGAAGATTTTCTTCTTTACATGAGTTTGTTTTTTTACCCTAGAAAAGTACCAAGAATTTTTCCCCTTCTAAAACCACAGTGAACTGGCCAAAGACCTCCTATGTACACAAGCAAAAAGGAAAAGTCTAGAGCAAACAAGCTCAAGGAGAAAAGGTGTTGTTCTTCATGGAAACTGGAAGGGCATCACAGCTTTGACTGAGATCTTAAGCACTGTCAGTAAGTGCAGCTACAGACCAGCTCACTGTACAGTGGAAAGCATGATATCCTCTCTCTTTCTTGAAGTGTGTCCACCCTCAAACATCACACCACAGCCTCTCTCAAACATTATTCATCTCATGTTATCAGAGCTGCCAACATCTTCCAGCAGAAACAGGCTTGTACAGCTAAAAACCAAATGCCTCTCCCTGCAAGGAGACCTCGAGGCCACCCACTTTCAGGACAACACGAAGAAGCACGTCCCCTCCTTTCCCCATTTGCTCTAAGCACAGCCCAGTTCACCTGGCTTGTAGCAAGCCCTACCTGTTCTTCAGACTACACAGCCACAACACCTGAAGCCAGACATCCGCGACCAGTTCCCTCGCTAAGTACTCATGGCAAGGCTCACAACCTTCTCTTCCCATCCCTGTGGTAGCAACTCCAGCCCCAACACAGCCTGACTTCTCCCAACAGGAATGAAAGCAATCCAGAGTAAGAAAACACATCACAAAATCAAGCCCTGGTAAGCACAAGTGCAGCAGATCTCTTCCAGCATGCTCTGGCCATTTCACATCTTGTGAAAACCATGTGTAGGTTTTGTGCTGCACGATCTAGTCTGTATGTCCTGAGCACTCTGAGCATCATAAATGCTTCCAGTTTACTACCCTGCAGCCAGGCAAGTGGAAATTTGTTCTCTGCTTGCTGCAGTGACTTTGCTGTGGGTAGGTAGGTTCTGTGTGTTAAAGATGATTTTGTGCTGCCCACTTGGCAAAAGCAGTTTGGGACTCTCCATCTCCATTTTGTGATTCTGCAGGAAGATTCTCTCTTCCCCTCTTCAGTATTTTATAAATTCAATCATAGCATGCTTTAGAAAGGCTGCTGCCACCAGCATGGCTGCAGGCTCAGTCCCAGAGGACTTCCAACTACCTCCAGCACAACCCAGATTTAATTTAAAATAATTGCAATATAAAATAGCATCTTCACGTGTGCTGAGGGAGAGGAGAGAAAAATTAAACTGAGAGGGGCAACCCTAAAGCAAGGTTCTGAAATCCCCAAACAGCACCAGAAACGACACAAGCAAGCACAATGCCCATTCCAGAGCAGCAGAATCACCAGACACCTTCCTCAGTTCCCACTTCCAGACAGCCCCCTGCACCCGCAGGAGTCCTGGTGTGACCCTCTAGCAACTGGGAGCACTGAGAATTCCATATTCTCCCAGAAGCGTCTCTAAGCAGCACTGTAGGCAGCAACCTGCTTTCAGCCTGCACACCTTGTGCTGTTAAGAGGGGCTAAAGTTTAGAGGGGATTCTTGGCCACCCAGCCCACCTACCACTCACTGCAGACATTCCCACTGTATAATCTCTTCCATAAACTGATTAAGCTTCATTTTGGGACAGCTAAACTGTCTCCACTTTTCCCTGGGGAGGCTGCTGCCATATGCCATTCTTTTGGTAGTTTGGAACCATCTTTTTAAAAGTAATGAAATATTTTCTGGATGAAGTTCAACAGTGAAACTGGTGAAAATGAAATCAAGCTGCTTTATTCTCATCAGGTGACAAACTTCAGGAGCATCCTTGCAGAAGCCTGACAGTCTTTAACATGCTCCAATGTCTTTAACATGTCTCCAACTTTTGTTCTGTAGCACAAGTTGCAACAAAGCCTCCGATAGCCTAATTCCTCCCTCCACTGTAAGGAACCCCTGCCACAGAGAGCAGATCTGGAGGGCAAGGGACTTCAGAAATATCCTTCCTCCTGTACTCAGAGCCTACTCCTTTTGTTCTGCAGCCCACTGAGTGGTTATCTCCTCACCATGCTGCTTGAGCCTGTGCTCCTGCTGGCATGAGCTCCACTGCTTCATAGGTGAAGCTCCCAGCTGCTCCAGGTGAACTCTCCATCCCCAGGGAGAAGTCGCTGCTCAGGCTTGTGGTGCTGCCTCGGTCTCTCTGCTCTAGAGGAAAGAAAACGGAGCTACCTGAAGACAGCTTGATCTCACTCACTTTCTCTCCCTTTAAGCAATACAATTCCCACGTGCCTTGGGGCTGCAGTCTTGCAAGGCCCCAAGGGAAGCACACCCATTTGTAGTCACCTTGATGCTGGTAACCCAAGCCCCCAAGCCATCAACCGTTACCAGCACCCGGTGGTGGTGATGCTTGGCAGCAGCACTCACTGAGCATGCAGATCTCTTCCAGGGTGAAGCCAGGCTGCAAACTCTTCCTTCTGGGGAAGGAAAGACAAAGGTTACCTCAGATACACCTCAGGGCTGTGTTGAAACTGGCTATAGTCAGGATTTCTGAAGCCTGCAGCAGATCAGAGCAGCAGGGAGTTAGCTGTGCAGGGGCAGAGGGGAGGGTATGGGGCCAGTGTGCAGTATCTGGCTATCCCAACAGCCCCAGCCCATGCACCCTGTGCTTTGAGAGGGTGGCAACAGGCTGCAGGCTGACATGTGCTTATTCAGAGCCTCTGGGGAGGTCTTTGCTTCTTTCTGCCCCTCCTGAAGTAGGAAGGAGTTAATACTTAGTGGTCTGCTACAAACCAGCCACCCCGCTGTCCCCAGCAGTGCCCGATGGAGCTTGCTGCGCAGCCCGCTTGAGCCAGTTCGCACATCTCTGGGCTCATCTGTGCTGAAGCAGCCACGGACAGTCATTAAGCAGAGAGCACATTTCAGCATGGACAGTTTTTCAGAGCACAACGTGGCACCTCGCAAGCCTCGGCCCCATTTTGCAGCCTTCAGAGTGCAGAATAAATTAAAGAAAACTGGGCCAGGACACCAGGGCTTCCATCTCCCCAAAGAAACAGCACTAACAAGCTCCCTGGCTCTGCAGTCTATGTAGCAGCAGACACAGGCTTCTTACCTCTGTGACTTCACAGCAGAGAACTCCTCAGAGGTGATGTGCTTCAGAAAATTGAAGCAGAAAAAGAAAATCTGAGCAAAAGGAGAGAGAAGAGTGGTTCAGGAATGAACCCGAGGCTCCATGGAGCCTCTTATCTTGGTGGCGAGGTGCTGGCAGAAAGGAGATAGCAAGAAATCTGCAGCTACCAGCTGCAGTGCTCCACGGGCTGCCACCTTCCCATCCTGGACCTTCTCTTACACATTAAATTGACCCTCTGTTCCCTCGCCATGGGGAGGCCCAGAAAGGAAGGTGCATAACAAGTCTCCTTATCGATGCCTTGCACATGCGCCGCAAGCGCGCAGCAGGTACTTATGCCACCAGTGCAGAATGGAAAAGAGATGGCTCCCAGCAGCTGCTTATACACCCAGGTAAGGAGCAAACCCAGCAGCACTAGGAGGCTTAGAGCCACATGCTCCACCTCAGCACCACAGCTGTATCACATCTGGAAGCATGTGGCACCTGCGGCTTCTGTGGCCCCAAGCTCCCTTTCCTGCTGCAGCTACTGACTCTGCCCCTGGCCAAGCAGGCCTCTGAGCAGAGCTGCCAAGCTCGAGCCAGCAGAGCTCTGGGGAAAGGAACGAATGGGAGGAACAATACTAATACAGGCGCCCTGGACCACTGAAAGATGGAAAATAGGCCAGGGTTCCAGCTCTACTGTTCAGAGGCCAGGGATTCCCTAGTGAGATGAGAGTCTGAGGAGCTGGGGATTAGCAACAGGGTAGATATACTCCCCGCTTCTTGCTTTCTATCCAAAAATGACATTGTAGTGTACTGCAACTACAGACAGAGCAATCATTTTTTAATGTTAAACAGCAAAAGACTTGAAGAGAATTGGTTCCACTGACCTTAACCGCCTCCCAGCCCCATCACAGATACAGCCTGTCAAATACACACCCTGGAACCAGACCAAGCTGCTCCCTGAGCCCACACTGACACACAAGCTATATGCAGTTGCAGCACCCAAGCAGGAGGGCTGGAACTCAGGACAAGCACACAAGACTATCCAGCTTTATTTCCAAGCCTCCAGCAGTCACATGCCTTAAGCATCCCTTCTCATTGCCAAGCTGAACAGCAAGTCCTGGCACCCTTTTCACCAGGGGCCTGAACACTACTGGCACAACAGGGGAACTGGCAAGACCGACACCCAGCAACCAAACTGGGGCCTGAGAGAAAAGCATTCCCACACCTTATGTATCAGCAAATGACAGGGCAAGGCTCCTACCTCATATTTCCAGTAGGTAAACAATCTTTTTAGAGCCCAGCCAGACCACTGGTATTACCAGCAGCAGGCAGTGAATGCTGCTATCATAAACAAGGACCCTGAGAACAAAAAGCAGTGATCAGCCAATGCCCCAGACCAAACACTCACCTCTTCTCCTTTACTGAGTCGATCAGCTAACATGTGCCTGGAAAGAGAGTGAAAGAAGCTCAGTCAAACACTGGAAGCCAGAATCAGCAGAAGAGCACAAACTGTAAAGAATTGCCAGATGCCTGAGCCTCCAGGTAAAAAAGGGCATCGGCCCCTCTTGTCACAGCTCATTGGGAGCTGCCCCAACATCTACCTTTGGTTGTGGGAAAACACCAAAGATGATGCCCTGAAAGCTTCTTCCCTGCTGTGCAGGGATGCATAGGTAAGAAAATGTGGTGTGCTTACCCAAAGAGAAACCAGTCATAGGCCACTGTCAGGTAGAGAATCTCTGATGGCTCCAGGGACACGTGAATCAGCCCATCCTGCAAAGTAAATGAGAGCAGCCTTCAGGCAGCAGCCCTGGGGATCAGGACTTGGGAATTCACAATCTACTGGAAAAGTGTCACCATGACCCAAGATGGCCAGCTTGCTCTACCCGCCTGTGATACTGGGTCTGACGTGTGCCTGTCTGATAGTCTGCTGGGCTCCACGCCAAAGCAAACTCACACCCTCTCTGAAGCCAAGATGGTCAAAAGGAACATTAACTGCTGCACGACCACTTCCTGATCACACAGTCACTCACCCTCCAAGCAATCACCCCCAGAAGCAGGGCAGGTCAGGCAGGTACTCACAGCCCATAAGGAGAGGCGCAATAAGGAGATGAAGAGCGGAGTTCGATCCCAGCCAGATATACAGTGCACCAGGAGCCCGCTGTCATCTGTTCCAGGCAGGGGTAGGAAGGAGAAGGAAAAAAAGGATGTTGTAACAAGAGCAATGACTTCTCTTCATGGTAAATCTGTAGAGACAAGCTACCCTCTGTTCCCACAGTCCAGGCTCAAGAGCAGAGCTCAGCCACCAAGCCAGAACAAATTTTTTAGTGTTCTGGGTTGTCAGCAGCCCCAGCTGATGTGCTGTCCTGGTCCTGACAGCTGCTCAGGACATGAAGTCACTAGGCATGAACATCACTTTGCAACCCAAACCACATACCTACCCAGCTGCAATCCACTATCCAAATTTATCCCCACATCAGAGAGAAACCTGCTCCAACTAAACACTTTTTCGGTCTCACCAACCTTCCTACTGATACATATTGAGCAGAAGAACATACAGGGCACAAATCCTACACTCTCCAGAAAGTTTGCAGTTCGTCCCCACGCAACTACTGCAGAAGAGTCCGTAGCTGGTCGTGCTGGCAGAACCAGCCACAGCTCCATCTATCCAACAGTGCAAGGTACAAAGTCAAAGAGCCCAGAGGGAATGGAATACTGACACGAGGCAATACAGCCCTTCAAAACACTGGGGTGACTGTGACTACAGAGGATGGAAGGGGCTCTTAAATAGGCACCTAAGGAGAGCCTGGGTTGGAGGCACAAAACACAGGTGTTCAGCAAAATAAGAGCAAGGGTCAACAAGCAGAGGAACAAGTGTTTCCTCTTGTCAGCTTTGAAGCAGTAAAACATGAGGTAAAGCTTTTAGATACCCCTCCATATGCCTGGGAGGTGAGGGTTTTCAAAGAATCAGCAAGTTTCTCTCTAAGAGGGAAGCTGGGGCCCTCAGATAATATGATCATTGTGCTGTTTTAAAGGGAGATAAGTGAAGCAATTTGTTATAAAGTCACTCTTCTGTATTGGGAATTATCCACAGTGGCACTAATACCATCAGCTGTTTTTCTGGAGAGAGCAATTGCTCCAGACTGCTGTGAGCAACAGTTAGCCTTACCATCAGTGTTGATGATGGAGATCAGCAGCTTCAGGTAGTTCTGTGTCTGTTGTATGAGGTCCCAGCTCTACAGAAAGAGAAATGTTCATGGTAAGGGTCTGCCCAGATCAAAAAGCTGCTCTGCAATTCAGAGCTTGCCATCCTCTTGGCTTCTCTATCTAGAACAACAGTGAAACAGAAATAACCCCATGGCCATTCATCAGTGACAGACCTTCCCCTTGATGCTCTAATCAATCCCCTCATCCTCTTCAAAAGGTACTCTGAGACAATAGAACCGACAGAGAGAAAAGAAAAAAAATATAAAGCCATCTCTACTGTCTGCCTGGCTGGCACAGAATCTGCTTGCCAGGAGCCCCAAAGCTCCAAGCAGGTCATGCTCAGAGAGACCAATGTGAGCCAGCAAACACCTGTGGAGTGCTGACCCAGTTCTGCAGCCCCACACAGACCTGCACGTCACCCTACGGCTCAGCAGCCACGTTACAGCCGTGTATGTGATGCAAGTAACACAATGGGGTCAGCAGCCCCTTCCCACAACCCAGATGCTTTGGTCTAAGCTTTTTGTCCCTTGTAAACAGTCCCAGCAGGTGGCCTGCAGAGGGCTGACCCACTCCAGCTGCTCCAGTCAGGCACTGGACTTGTGCAGTAACACCACAGAAGGACTCTGAACCCAGAGACTCCCAGCATGACAAAAGATGCAGGTAAAAAACATCAGAACAAGTTCAAGCGTGCCACTCGCGACCACTGCGTCACTAGAAGATGCAGTGGATTCCAGTAGTCTGATCGGAGCCAGAACTAGCTCATGTCCCATAGGCTACCACTGGCAAGGAAAAGGGACACATGTTGCGACAGCATTAGTGGTACAAGTGACATCTGACACGTGCCATGTGCCTGCCTGCACGCATGTGTGTGTGTAAGCACACAAGACTACCATCAAACAAAAAACATGTTGCTTTGCCGTGAAGCCCGTACAGCAACAAAAGAGTAGGGGAACGGGGAACACACTCTGCCTGGGGCAGAAAAACACGTACTTTTAAAGTATGTCTGCTCAGTTCAACCAAATCCTGTGCTTCTGCCAGAAGGAATCATCTACCCATCCAGTCTGATCTCTCTGTACTACAAACCAGAAAGTTTTCTTCAGCTGCCCAAAATAACAGTCCAGAGCTTGCACTTGGCAACATCTCTGCCCAGAGAAGCACCTCTGCTAGGGGTGACAGCTCATCGCTCCTTTGGCGGCATGTTCCAACAGATCACCCTCAAAAAATAACATGCAAGGCTGCTTTTCCTCATTTGAAGGTCTGATTTCAGACTGCAGATATTACTTCCTGTGCAGCTTTTCTTCCCCAGATTGAAGAGTGCTTTAGAATTAGTATTTTCTCCCTGCAAATGTACTTACACATTAATCAAGTCAACCCTCCATCACCTTTGCGATTAGCTAAACAGACCGAGAATTTCAAGTGAAGCACCTTCTCCAGCCCTCAGATCATTTCTGCACCTATTTATTACACCTCTTCAATTTTTGATATCCTTTTAAAAATACTGGCTGTTCAGTACTCAAGCGAACAAGTTCATATCCATAAACAAGCTATGGTCCCATTAGTTCTGCTTCAACACTGCAAGCGACTTTTTCACAATTCTGCTTACGCTGGCACTTAAACATCATTTACGTCACTGACTGACAAACACCAGCCCAGCATGGGAAGCTCTCCTAGTTCTGTGGTGCTTCCAGCGTGACACGCTCCAGCACAGTAAATCATCACAAAACCTGGGGGCACCGGTAGGTCCACTGATGTGTGAAATGGAGCACGCTAATCAGCAGTATAAGGTGATGCTCCCTGGTATGAACAAAGGCAAACCTCGAAGCTTGGGCAAACATAAGAGTTCAATTATCACTTGCAGTGCTGTCCCAGTAATACAGAACGGAGACATGCTATGGTCAGTTATAATTTTCTACTCTTCTCCCATGGCACAAGCACCTTGCACACCCATGAAGAATGAGCTTAAGTCACCTGGCTACTGCTCACATAAGGGAAGGCTGACCTCTCTCAAGATTCTCTGCAGCCAAGGAAGCCTGCCCATCACAGGCATGTGCTGAGCAAAGATTATGAACAAGCAACACTGCTTTCTGTTTCCTGGCACGTTCCTTACCTTTGTTAGCAACCTATCTCCCCAATGGATTGCAAGCTCTACACAAACTACAGAAAAAGATTTGACGTTGCAGTCAGCTGCCTCGGGACACAGCAAGCCATGGTGCTTGTGGGCAGAAGATTTCTGCTGCCATTCCAAACAGTCAAGTAAGCAGCCTTGCTCCCACTGGGACGGTATGGAGTGAGTCACATTATGGCAACACGAGCAAGTCAGCCTTCAAATCTTTACTGATCCTTCCTGAATGAATCTCTTGACTTCCCACAGAGATGCCTGCTTTGCTCACCTGGTACTCGCTCCAATCGATATTCAGAGATTGGGTCAGAAAGGCTGGGATACTTAATGGAGCATCTACATAATCCTGCAAAAATCCCAAACACAACTGGTCAGAGAAAAGCCATGACTTGAAGGCCACTGCCTTCAGTTCCATAAAAAAAACCAACCCCAAAACAATGAATGTCACATGGTACATTTCTGCAAAACATCTTTGGATGCAAAACCTGAAATGCTAAGGATTAACTCATAGCCTCTTTGAAGAGCTAGTGGACAAAAGGAGCTCTCCTGTGCTCCCAAAACTGAAAGTTAGGGACAAGGCACGTTAGTTTCTCAACTCCTGTAGAGCTCAGCAGGATACAGACTATAAAGACAGAACTGAGAACAGAGGCTATCAATAAGATCAAATTCAAAAACAGGAGCAACCCATATCCACTCATGAGAGGTCAAGCATCCTGGACTTCAGGATAACTGTTCATTTACTTCATATCACATTTTACAATGCATAATCTAGTACATTCACTATATATTTTGTTTGTCCTGTTGGTTTCCTCCTTGCGACTAGAAATATGCACGACATATACACCGTCATGTATGGCAAGACTTAAGCCCAGCAAAGTCCACAACTCTCCATTTTGTAACATCCACATACCTGTTTCCAGTTAAATATGAGACCTTCAGCTGTATAATCTCGATCTTTGTACTCCTTAAAAAATTCACAGCCTGCAAGAAGAAGAGATAATGAACAACTATTCAGCTAACTGCTATCTGACAACTGAAGTGCCCTGTGGGACTGGAAGCGCTGGCAGCCCTGGGCTCCAGAGCATCAAGCCAATTAAAACCGTTGCCTGTGGGAAGGGAAGAGCAGAATTCATCAGTGCAGCAACAGCCCAGAGACACAGCAGCAAACACGCTCACACGGCAAACAGCAAACTCCAAACACATGGCAAATGTGGAGTTCAAGGGTCTGCTTTCGTGCTTTCTCAAACGAGATGTTTCACCAAGGAGCTATGCTTTCCAGGGCCACCACCTTTTGGACAGATCTAAGGTGTCGGCCTGACACGCTGAGTGAGAAGGAACCAGCAAAAGGAGGTGACAGCAGAGCCCTGGGGAAAGCCAAACTTCACAGGGCATCTGCTGCAGGCAACAAGAAAGGGCTCTGTCAGAGGCGGCTGCGATTTCTCTCACACTTGAGTCTCCTCTTTCAAACACACGAATTGCCCTATCTGAGGGAAGCAGGTACATAATCACTTCCAAGGTTTTCCCTCAAGCCCTCCCCTCCTGAAGTTTGTCCTTTGGCTCTGTTCTCAGACACCTGTTTGAAGCCTCTGCTGCAAACTGCAGTCACTTAGTCACAGTTGAGCAGCACCATTAGCACTGCAGCCGCCTGCAGGCTACACGAAGCACCTCTCCCCAAAACTCCTCTCCCCAAAGCACCTTTCTTCAGGCCCTGAATACGCCCCAACAGTGACACCGTGCCCCCACTGCTGAGCCACCCCTATGCCAGGCACCAAACACAGGCAGTGTCACAAGTAAACCCAATGGTGAAAAAAAATAAACCTTTGTGCAAGAGCAGGACTAACCCTCAAAAACACAGAGTCAGGAAACAATCTGTCAGCTGAGAGTTAACTCTTAATTAAACAACGGCTTAAAGCAAAGAATGGGGGATTATGACAGTAAGTATTGGCATCTACAAACACCAACTACCAGTCAAACAGAAAAGAGAGTTTTTCTGCACTGGAGAGGACCTAAGCTTCTACAGACAGCTCACTTTAATCCAAGTCTTTCACCCTAGACAGTCATTACTCGTTGCTGGGTAAAACACTGGCGGGGTGGCCATGCTGAAAGCATTGGTGACTGAAATTTAACTCCGCTGGTGGCCCATCACAAGTGGTGTTCCTCAGGGCTCAGTGTCAGGGCCAGTTCTGTTTAATATCTCAATCAACGATCTGGATGAGGGTATCGAGTACACCTTCAGTAAGTCTGCAAATGACATGAAGCCAGGCAGGAGCACTGATCTGCTTACGGGCAGGAAGGCTCTACAGAAGGGTGTAGACAGGCTGGATCAATGGGCTGAGGTCAACTGTATGAGGTTCAACAAGGCCAAGTGCCAGGTCCTGCACTTGGGTCACAACAACCCCAGGAAATGCTACAGGCTTGGGGAGGAAGGATCAGTGGCTTAGAGGAAAAGCGTCCTGGAGGTGTTGGCTGACAGCCGGCTAAATGTGAGCCAGCAGTGTGTCCAGGTGGCCAAGAAGGCCAGCAGCATCCTTGCCTATATGAGGAATAGCGTAGCCAGCAGGACCAGGGCAGCGATTGTCCCCCTGTACCCACCACTGGTGAGGCTGCAGCTCTAATCCCATGTTCAGTTTTGGGCCTTTCGCTGCAAGAAAGACATTGAGGAACTGGAACGTGCCCAGAGAAGTGCAATGTCGCTGGTGAAGGGGCTGGAGATCAAGTCTTACAAGAAGCAGCTGAGGGACCTTGGGTTGTTCAGCCTGGAGGAGGCTGAGGGGAGACCTTATCTCTCTACAACTACCTGAAAGGAGGTTGTAGCAAGGTGGGGGTCGGTCTCTTCTCACAAGTAACAAGCCATAGGACAAGAGGAAACAGGCTCAAGTTGTGTCAGGGCAGGCTGCCCAGGGAAGTGGTGGAGTCACCGTCTCTAGAGGTATTTAGAAGATGCACAGATGTGGTGCTTCGGGTTATGGTTTAGTGGTGGACTTAGCAATGCTAGGTTAACAGTTGGACTTGATGATCTTAAAGGACTTTTCCAACCTAAACGATTCCGTGATTCTGTGTTTGGATACTGCCTCATTCACCCAAGACAAAAGGATCTCAGAATAACTTTAGAGAAAAATTTAAAACCAGAAATTCTTTCAAGGTAAACCTGGAAACATCAATAAGAATGTATCACTGCACTTGGCCAGTCACTAGAGGGGCTGCTGATCCTTAGATGCGTATGCCTTAGATTTAACAGAATGACAACACTCCCTATGGTCTAGCACTGCTGAAATCAGGCAACATCTGCAGGGAGATTTTCCGATATCACAAGGTTTACCTCTAGCATGGCAGTGAAGAGCTGCTAAAAGAAAGCAGCTGTCCCAGACAGCAAAGAGGAAGGACCATCACTGAATACTGCACACAATATGGAGATCCCTATACAGCAACAACTCTGTAGCTCAACTCTGCTTCTTCCTCATTCTTTACAAATCCTCGAAAAGACCTGTGTATTCTGTCTCTCCTGTGTTCTAAGTTTGTTGAGGCATAAGGCAGCAACATATACCTGTGCCACGTGCTACTCTTTATTTCTGTACACCTTGGCAATCTGCATGGTAAACTCAATAGAAATCTTCATGCAGCTTCATTGAATTGTCACTAATTTCTGTATGAAAAGAAAAACACCTTTTTTTTTTAAAAAGAAAAGAAAAGAAGATATGCTTAAGAACAATAACTAGTTAGCAAGGAAAAGTTTGGGTTTGGATCATCGATAAGAGTTCTGTTGGGTTTTTTGTTTCGTTTGTGGGTTGTTTTTTTATCTTCTCTCCCTTTCTCTGTGCACAAGGGAGAAAGAAGAGTCCTTTCTGGCAGACAGACCTCAAGCACAGCAGTCTCACATCCAATTCTATCACTGAGCCTGACATCAGCAGGCAGGCAGCAATATTCAGCTCATCTTTAAGAGTGCAGCAAGTGACCCAGCAGTGGTTGCTAGGCACAGGGACTAATATAGCCAGGGAGACGGGCTGGAGTGGTGTGCACCTCAGCCGTACATCGCAGGCTTGGGTTAACAGTTCTGCCTCGCATCTGAGGATATGTCACAGTGGTGCTCTGGAATACTAGGACTAGAAAATACTCTTGGGAATTGGGGTTTTACATGACACAGAGGAAAATACATATTTTGCATCAAGTAGTAGCTTGGAATTGCAAGGGTGTCAAAGGCCACTGTAACCTCAGCTCCACCTCCAGGACTTTTTCTCCGCACTTGAATTAATTAGAACTGCTGAGAAAATATTTTGCCACCTCAAAGAGTGCCTAACGCTGACTCACACCACCAGAGTATCCAGATTTGTTGCACTGTTCTCATTTTAAAAGAGCTTCTCTCCAGAGGGAGCACAGGAAACATTCAGCAAGTCACAGTCACTTCACCACACACACACACACACAGAGGTAGTGCCCAGTCCCCAGAAATGGATTGTCACCTGTCCCTTGGGAGTCCCTCTGGACACCAGTCCTGTACCTGGATATGGGATGGAGAGAAGCGTGAAATCAGCATAACGTTGAGCTTTGTCCACTTTCTCGGAAGACGTCACACTGCACAGGACAAGAAGAAAACAACAAATGTTTGCACCATACTTTTCATGGGAGCTGTCACACCTCCCTGCACAATGACTTGACTCAGTAGTGAGAAGGGCCAGAACTTACTCAACACATTCAAACAAACAGGTATAGCCCCATACCACTAAAACTTTCTTCTGAGAAATACCAGGAGAAACATCTTCCTCTGTTCCTATACACAAGCAGAGGGTTTCTTTACTCTCCCGTTTTTGAAGGGGTGACTGTCACGTCACCACAAGCTCTATAGAGAAAACCTATTCAGGCTGCAGAAGACAGATGAAAGCAGCTATCTTGGCCTTCGCTACAGCTTCCTCTGGCCAAAAATCCTGGAGTTTTCTTCACAGTATCATCTAACTGATCCTGCTGTAGCAGTCTTCCAGAGACTGCTCCCAGGATGCTGAGGGCATGCACAACGACAATTTACATGTAAGGGCTACACTAGCTGGAATCCAAAGCCTGCAGAAAAACAAATGAACCCAGACTTACCTCAAGCCAAACTTCACCTTCTTGTTTTCCACCATCAGGTCGCAGATATAACGGACAGAAAGGTATCGAAGCAGCTTGATGTCGTGCCCTCTGACCTTGTCAAACAGCTGGGAGTCGGCATTTCTGTGACACAGGAGAAGCAAAGCAAGATGAGCATGGAAGACTAATCACGTTGAGTCTGATTCTTTGCACAACGCTGCCACAGCTCTTCCCTGAACTGCTTCTAGCCATAAGCCACACAGTTCGAGCCTCGTCTGCACAGGTCAGAGGCAGATTCTGCAATGAACTGACACTGCAAACTTTGTCCTTAGGCTCCCTCTCCACATCTCACTCTGTCCTGCAACAGGTGTGTAAGACACAGAACAATTTCTCCAGCCTGAAGATGTACTTTGTGACGAAGTAAGTAAGTGTGTGTACTTCAAACACCTTTCTTAACGGCTCTACATATCCCTGTCTCCAACTCCTCCCTCTGGCAAGAGATTAGCAGGCTTCAGTTACACTGGGTTCAGCCAGCCATTAGTGTTCAAGACTCTTTTCAAAAAGCAAGGAAAGTAAAGACTCCAAACTTGGTAACAGTCCTAAGCCTGTACCCAAAGCCCAGTCTAGGACAAGAGCAGAACTAAGTGGCTGAACTAGTCAGCTTTGGTCCAAACTCCCCCTTCCCCATCCCAGGGACGCATACAAACCTAAGTGCAGAATCTTCCTCTGAAATGTCTTCTGCATCCGCCCAGGCATCATCAGAACCTCCTGTAAGGAAGGCATCACAAACTGAAGCTCGTGTAAAACAACTTAATTCCCAATCTGACATGACAAGCACACACCCAAGAAAGGTTTGGCAACCCCTTTCCACATGTAAGTGCTCTCAATAGTTCCCCACATTTCCTCTTCCTGAAAAGCCTGCTTTCTAACGTAGCCCACTTTTCCCTTGTGCAAGGGACGCAGGCACGTCAAACCCACTACTGACAGCCAGGACACTCCAATATTGCTACACAGTGCTTAGCTCAGCCAAGCTTCAGCTCCCACACTACAGACACCAAATACTCCCCTGATGAGCTTCCCTAGAGTCCAGTATATCTAACCCTTAAAGGGATTTAACTCCCAATGATTAACCAAGTAACAGTAAGTTCTCACCCTCTTTCTTCCATTATTCCCATCCCTGATGTTTGGGAATCAGTACCCTGATTCCTTTGGGCTGCCTCACTTGCCTACATGCTTCTCATAACTCACTCTTTAGCCTCAAGTTCTTTTGTAACCGCTTCTTATGAGCTATGGCACTCTGTCCTGCAGTATGGTGCCTGGAAATGGACATGAGAGTTCAGTCTTTGCTCTATGACGTCTGACACGAGCACTGGCTCTCAGAAGGAGCTTGCTCTCCTGTGTAGGTCACTGCCCCAGCACTGACCAGCCTTACCAGGCAGATGGTGACAAGTGGCTCCTCACTCACCTGAGAAGATGTAATTGTAGCCGGTGCGCCCATAGAGCTCTCCCCAGCCAGCCAGCGTTGCTGATCTGCAAATATGCTGGAGGAAGATTTTGTTATTAACCAAGGCATGCTCCAGGAGCCTCTCCCTTATCAGGTCTTTGGCCTATTTGCTGTCAGGTTACACAGAAATGGTTGGTATCTACGCTACTGCCTCTCAGCAGTCTCTCCTGCAGCCCTGGTCCAGATCAAGTTCTCCAAACATGTAAAACTCCCAAGCATCTTTATCTGTAGCTAGTTTTTAAAATGACATTTTCACCTCCAGGTCTCAAATTCACTAATACAGTCAATTCCTGCCAACCCAGCAAAGCCCACGTTCTGTTAATACCCTACTTGAGCCTTATTTCCACATTCCTATGGATAAGATTATGGACGGTCCCAGCACAACTCCAGGCAGTTCACTCCTGCAGAAAAAGGTCAGCAGGTTCAGCCCACAATGTCTTGAGTCAAGGTAGATTAAAACTATCACAGGTACGATTTTGCTATTCACACAGTGCTTCTAAATTGAACTAAGAAAACTGAATTAAAGTACTTAAATTCTAAATGAGACTATTCCTACAGGGCTTCGATACCATTTAAATAATCCACATAAGAAAGAATCTAATTTCACTTTCTTACAGATCCCCTTGCAGACAAGCCCACACATTTGTAAGACCATTTATGGAATCTTGCCTCTCCAGGGAACAGATAAGGAAATTTCTCTTTAGAGAGAAAAGTTATTCAACAGGAGTTCACTGCTGGGAAGAGTAAAGGGCAGAAAGTGACAACAGTTGTCCTTCACTCTCAAAGACCAAGTATCTTTGGTCCTTCAGAAGGGACACACATATGGAAAAAAGGTTAGCTCTTTAGTGCAACGCTCATGACATGGCGGGGTAAAATAGCTTGAAGTTCTCCTTGATGATTTACTTACGCAGCCTAGACAGCAAATGCCACCTACTACTACAGGCTGCCTGTTTGTACCCAAGAAGAGATTTTTTTACAGCATTTGGAAAGGTGACAAATGACTGAAGACATGGCTGCTCAGCTCAAACGGCAGGGAGAGAGGTCATTTTCTAAGTTAAGACAGGTAACCCACGAATCTTTACCTTTCCCTTGTACAGAATGACTGGGCAAACAAATCGTCCTCTACACCTCGCCATCTTACTTCGGTTGATAAGGTCCTGCAGTTTGCCAACCTGCACAGTGCTCTCAAACCTAGTGGACAGAGATTCAGTTCAGTACACACAGCATCTTCTCACGCGGCTTTTGGCGAAGCTGCTACAGACACCCTGGGCTCTCATCCCCATCCCTTTCACCTAGAAGCCAGCTCTGAAGGCAGCAAGCAAGAGGACACTTCTTTAAAAACCGCTTCCACTGCTATACAACATGAACGGATGCTTTTCTGTCTCCTTTTCTTTATTTTGAAAGACCAGCTGTGCAGTACGTGACGGCAAATGTCTTCAGGAGCTGGTGATACGAGTATCGGCAGAACGGCGTGCCACAGACTCACGGGGATTATTAAGGAACGAGTGGCAGAGTAAGCCAGTGTCCACAAAAATATATGTTCTGCTTTCCTCCTTATCACTTTTCCATCAAAAAGAAGCTGAGCACTACCATCAGGGTGAATTCACTATCACAGGGATAATTTTGCAAGGAAAAATATAGAAAACAGAGAATTAAAGCTTGAACGTTCAAAGCATTTCTGTTGCCAGCTAGCGGGTTGAGCAGGGTAGTTAATGTCAGCTGCATCTGCATAACTAAATTTTGGTTGGTTTTCTGGCTTAAGTTAAAGCAGAAATTGTGTTCTAAGTTGAAGATATTCAGGAAACAAGCTAAAACTGCCACAACTCGTACAAGCACCAGCCTACATTTGATAGGAACCCAAAGTGACTTCTGAATGACACAAACCTTCAGGATGAACTGTCAATGCAGGGAGGACTAGAGTTTTCACAAGGAATCACAGAATTGTCAGGGTTGGAAGGAACCTTAAAGATCATCTAGTTCCAACCCCCCTGCCATCAGCAGGGACATCTCCCACTAGATCAGTTTGGAGAAGCATCCAGACTCACGAAAGAGAAACCATATGAAGTCTGGACATATAAAGCTTCATGGCCACACACTTAAGAGATGATTAACAAGAATTTCCAGTTAGCCCTTTCCTGTCGCGGAGCTCAGTAGAAAAGCCTAGATGAACTGGTTGATCTCTGGATGCTTGTACATGATGAGCACGCTAAGTCTGAAAAAAAGAGACACGTGAGATTGTGGGAAACTCTCCAGCGGGATGGAGAAGTACCAGCACTACTTGTGCAGAACACAAGATTTCAGTGGAGATAAGAGGAGTGACCTACCCACACTGGAAAAGGCACAGCAAAATTATTAGGATGGTCAGGGGACAGCGTATGCCGCAAGAGAAACCATCACAGACTGGTGAGCAGAACAGATGAAGTGAGGACCCAACAACGTATGCATTAGGGTGAAGGTCAGAACTTAAAACAGAGCAGGAGAAGAACTCAAAGGTGAAGGACAATGCTGGCCTAAGGAAAAATTAGTAAGTTTATGTGGGGAGTTAAAAGAAAGTCACTAAGCTTCAGAATCAGTGAGAGTGTGGAGCAATCAACCTGCAGCCGGCATTCTGGGGAGGATTAAAAAAAATAATCTATTATTAATATGGAAACTGATCTGTTTATGGAAAAGATTATACGAGGTGGTGCCAATGCAAGCAGGGAAACAACAAACAAGACCTTCACCTTCAAATCCTACTTTTTTTTTAAAAGGATTCAATTCTCAGAATTTATAGCAGAGGCTTAAGATTTTTTTCACGTCTCCCTACACACATAACTATTTTGGCTGTCCAGCTCCAAAGTGCTTTGACATAGATAAGAAATTAAAGGACAATAACCCAAGTTAATCTTCTTTAAATGTTGTGGACATGAGGGCGCTAAGCGCAAAGACAGGAAAATGCTAACACAATATACTTGACAAGGGAATACATGAGACTGCGTGCAGGCAGAAGCACGGGCCCCATGAATGCAATCCAAACTCTGCACGTCGCTGTCATTGCAAACAGCCAGGAGCTCTGCTTCCCTCCTCAGAGAGCACGTGAATGACACGCACCGCAGGAATGGCCCATGTGTAATTCTCAATACCAAACCATTTCAAAACTTTGAGAGATCGTGATGTACAGATTTGGTTGTCAGGTTGTTTTAAAACGAATGCAGGCAATTAGGAGACATATCTTGCACTCTGCTCGAGCTGTCCATGTTTCCTTTGCAAAAGCAAATACAGAAGGAAACAAGAGCTTTAATATGGTGTTACCAGAAGAGCTCCGTGGCACTGCTTCTAGGTCCAGAAGATGGGATTCAGCAAAAAACAAATGCCTGGAAGATCAGGAATTAGAAGAGAAGCACCTCCCCAGGAGCTGAGACAAGACAACAGGTTTCACCTCTCAGCATATCCCCTGGGATTCCCTGGAGAGGCTTCACAGTGCTGGGGAAGGAGTCTGAGCCGCTTGGTGGGGACCTGGGACGAGCGGGAAGCCCAGCGCCGCACTGGGGACATGGAAGTATGAGCCCCCCTCCCAGGCTCCTGTGCCTACTCCTCGGGAAGCCCGCACACACACCTGAGAGACCTGCTCTGTGCATCATGGCTGTTGGATCTTCTCATCTCAAGAATCTTCGTCAATAAAGCTAAAGATGAGCTAAAGCTAAAGACGATAAGTAAACGTAGCTGTACGGAGACTACCATAGTAAGGGGAAAGGCTGCTCTGACAAGTGGTTCAATGCAGCATAAATAGGAGTAAAATCTGCTGAGAAAGGTTCAGAAAAGAGAGCACTCTTCAACAGCAGCGTAAAAGAACATCTTTAACACTGCTTGTCACCAGCTAGAGAATGAGGTGGAAAGAACGATACACATCTTAACTTTTTCTTTTAACTTTCAAGTGTTTGAAGGGGAAAGTTTGTTTTCAGAAGATACTGATGGGCAACCTTACCTCTGTATCAATTCCCTGTCCACTCTCCTTGCAAAAATCAGACCCTGAACTTGAATTAATCTTTTTAAATGCAAGAGAAATGTTTCCTATAAGGGTAAGCAACTGTTTTGGCAGCTGTGTATTTCAGACAGGCCTGAAGCAGAGATGCTTCTCTTTGGGCAGCCATAACAGCACCAGAACCAAACCATTCCTCCCACATTGTTAGAGTACGCACAACCGTGATCGTATTTGTTTGGAGCGCAGACACAAAACAGAATCATCAGGTGAAAACGAAGACATGGTCTGTGTCTGAGATCTGGATGTTTTCATTAAGCACTGTCACAGTAACTCTAGGACAGCGGGTAAAGAAACTGAGCGTATCCCTCTGCTTCCGTCACCTGCAACCTCTGCCCGCTCCTTCTGCAGGGACGTCACAGATCTCCAAGCACAGGGAAGGTGCTCCTGGCTCTCAGACATGCTCCGCGACTTTCCGGGTCTCCTTGTGAGCAGCACCTGACCAAGAGGCATGAAGACCAAAACCACATACCAAATTCCTCCTGCTACCTCCTTCACCTGCCTGGATTTCAGAGTAATGTTAGCAAACTTTGACGAAGCAACATCCTTCCTTCCCTGCAGAATGAACAGGAACTGAAAACAGATCTGGGTTAAAAATACCCTTTTTTTTTGCCATTTCCCTGTATGGCTTCAGAAGCAGCTGTACCAGCAACACTGATGGGGCAGGGCAGAGCTTGCATAAGCGAGAACTGCTTCCAAAAAACCTTGGTAGTCTCGGAGGTGTGAAGTGTCCTGCAACCTTCAAGTAGGTCTTACCAGCTGATAAAGAACAGTACAAAGATGAAAAGCAGCCAAAGACACTCAGTCCTAGAGGGAGTGTCCTGTTGACTGGAAGAGGCTCTTGCATTCTGCAACACAAGAAATGCAAGAGTCTCTATTTCATAATCATTCCATAGAGTACAGTGATGAAACTAAAAACTGAATTTGTCTAAAAATTACTCGACAGCTTTCATAGACTTCATCATCCAGAAAGCAGGAGCAGAGGGATGATGAAGGGTAGTCTGTTTTTGCGACTCCGGGACAGCAAGTCAAGACTTGGAATGAATCAGTATTTAAAACGTTAATTGCCACTGCTGGCTTGCAAAACTCTTGGAAGAAAACGGGGCACCAAGTGTAAGTACACTTGTTTTGAATACTCATCAGAAAAACTAAGCATCCTTTCCTCTTGCAAGAACAGGAAAAGCAGAAGCATGAGGTTTCTCTTCCCTAAAGACACTCCTAGTTATAACTGCAGCTTCAGACTTCAGTTTCAGGGTTGGCTTTTTTTGCAGCAAGGGATTTTTTATTTCCTAATGTGATCTAGCTATTAGGTAGAAATCCTCCCAGCTGTGGGTGTTTTCCAAAGACCCCCACCTCCAGCACCCCGCCCGCCAGCACGGCAGCTGACAGTTTGCCTTACTGAGGCAAAGCAGGCGGACGGGCGAGGGGAACTCAGTGACCACGGTCCCTTGGAACCCGATACTCTTGTCACAAACACAGCTAAGATTGCAACACTGTATAACGTTTTGTTGGAAGAGAAAATTAACAAAAAGAGAGGCTGTCGTTAGAGCTGCAGGGAGCAACCAGAAGCGGGACCAACGTGATTCTGAGCTTGCGGGTCAAAGTCCAGAAATGCGTTGGCTTAGACTCACGCTAAACTGCAAGCAAGCGGTTCCCGCTAACTCAGCGCCCACTGACCCCCACACCACGGTGGGCACGGACGATTT